TTTTTTAAAAAATAGATAATATGGACAAGGTATTATATTTGTTAACCCATAAAATAACATTCCTGCTAATATACCTGTTAATTGACTTACTATATTTTATGGTATTTACGATGTTATTCATAATTAACTGCCAATCCTGTTTTGAAGCTTGACTACGCTGCATCTTTGAAAACAACCACTATGATTTTGCATTTATCTGAAAACCCTTTTCTCTGTTTTTGTTGTTTTCTTGATGCTATATAGATGAGGATGGCCTTGAAGTTTTGGTCATTTTGGCTCTATCTCGCAAGTACTAAGATTACAGGGATGCACCGCCACACTCAGTAGCATCTGAAGTTCTATGTATGTATGCATTGACCACGAGGAAAAAATGATTGGGACTGCACTCAAATTTTCACTCCCAGTGTGTCTTGCCATCATTGGTGGCAGACCATTATGGGAATATTCTAGTATACAATGAAGTATTGGTTAGAGTCTTACAGTAACTGGTTTTGTGTCAACTTAACACAACCTGAAGTCATCAGAGAGGAAGAAGCCTCAGTTGAGGCAATGCCTCCATGAGATCCAGCTGTAGGGCATTGTCTTAATTAGTAATTGATGTGGGAGGGCCCAGCCCACTGTAGGTGGTGCCATCCCTGGGCTGGTGGTCCTGCGTTCTATAAGAAAGCAGGCTGAACAAACCACGGGGAGCAAGCTAGTAAGCGGTGCCCCTGCAGGGTCTCTGCATCAGCTCCTGTCTCCAGGTTTCCGCTCTGTTTGAGTTCCTGTCCTCACTTCCTTCAGTGATGAACAAGAAATAGAAGTGTACGCCAAATCAACCCTTTCCTCCCCAGCTTACTTTAGTCATGGTGTTTTATTGAAGCAATAGAAACCCTGACTAAGACAAGTCTCCTTGAGGAAGACATTATTTTAGCTCCTAGAAAGAGAAAGTAATGTAAATGTGTTAGAAAATAGAAAATAGTTTAGAGGGCTGGAGAGATGGCTCAGAGGTTAAGAGCATTGCCTGCTCTTCCAAAGGTCCTGAGTTCAATTCCCAGCAACCACATGGTGGCTCACAACCATCTGTAATGAGGTCTGGTGCCCTCTTCTGGCCTTCAGGCATACACACAGACAGAATATTGTATACATAATAAATAAATAAATATTAAAAAAAGAAAATTAAAAAAAAAGAAAATAGTTTAGAAAGTAAAGCTGAAGACTTATGGAGAAGACTGAAATCTCACTCCTTCACATCCAGGCATCACTGAACTCCTGAAACCTTTTCTGGTGAATAGTCCTACTCCTAGGTCTCCAGGTTCAGGTCTTAGGTAGGTCCATTACAGATAGGTGGCTAAACTCACCAAATTCTACATAAGCTACACTCGAATCATAAGAGGTGAGAAAGTGAAAGAGATTCTTTTTTCTTTCTTTCTTTCTTTTTTTTTGAAACAGGGTTTCTTTATGTAACCCTGGCTATCCTGGAACTCACTCTGTAGACCATGCTGGCTTTGAACTCACAGAGCTCCGCCTTGAGTGCTGTAAAGGCACGTATTGCCACCACCACCTGTGAGAGAAATTCCTAAAGCCTCTGCATGTGTGTGTTGCTGGAGACTGACTCCAGAACTCTATACACATTAGGCAAGTGTTTTATCACTACACTTCATCCTTAGCCCTAAATCTAGGATTTTTAATAATGAGGAAAACCTTAGGACATGGCCATACTTTCCATGCTTTCTTCCTGCTTCTTACAAGCTCTTGAGAAAAAGATTTAAGTGGTGTATCTTATAGTTTTGTGTGTACGGCTGCTTTGCCTGCACATATGTGTGTGTGCCACGTGGGTGCTCGGAACCCAAGGAGATAAAAAGAGGGGGCTGCCAACTCTCCAGCCCCTCCTCTGAAGCTTTAAAAAGTATCTTTCCAGCTGTAACTCAGTGGTAGCACATGCACAAGACCCAAGAGTCCATCCTCAGCACTGCAAAAAGCTGTCTTTTCTGGAAAGAATACAAAGATTTTTATGAGGAAAATAACTTCTGAAGAGAAAATCTTTTCCTAAGAGTTGAAACGTTTGGTTACCATTTGAATATGATAGAGAGGTTGGAGAGTGGCAATCTTCTATGATTACACCTTAAAAAAAAGAGATAAGTGAAGCTAAAGGAGGGGTAATACTGTGGTCCTGAAGAGAAGATGGACTGTTTTACACACATCACTGTAGGTTTGCACGGTACTGTCATTCCAGTCCTAAACGCTAGGCAATTTGAAGCTTACCAGGGAGGCAAATAAGATCAAGGAATCAAGGAGATGTTGCGAAGAAGGGCAGTGAAGGTAGAGGGTGTTAGAACGCTGTGAGGACTGAAACAGGATGGTGCTGATGCAAGAATGCTCAGCCCTGACATCGGTTGCCACAAGCTTTTTGCCAGCCTGGCTACACAGTGAGTTCCAGACCAGCCTGGGTTATACTGTGAGATTGTATCTCAAAAAAAAAAGAAAGAAAAGAAAAAGAAAAAACAAAACAAAACAAAATGCCCCGCATAAGCAGCATTAATCTAAATGTTAGAAGATATGATATGGAAGAGAATGTGCCATGTATGACAAAGGTTAATACCTTTAATATGTAAAGACCTGTTCCCAATCAATAGCAAAATCTAGACATCCCCCCAAAACTGGCAAGGGGCAAATAAAAATTATAAAGAAATGCAAGGGGCAGCACTGAAAACTGTGGAGCCCCACTTATAAACAATGAATTAGAATTAAAGCAATGTAGGCATATTTTCAACTATTGGATTCACAATGGCCTGAGAAATGACAGTTGATGGCAGTGATAGGAGCTGGACCACACTCTCTGGCTGCTGCTGCGGATCAAAGACTCTATTTGGAGTGTAAATTTCATTAAGAGCCTGGGCTTAGTGGCATACGCCTTTAATCCCAGCACTCAGGAGGCAGAGGCAGGCGGATCTCTGTGAGTTCAAGGCCAGCCAGGACTACGCTGTCTTAAAATAAAACAAACAAAAAACTGAGAGCCTCCCCCCCCATCTCTCTCTGTGTGTGTATAGAGCTCATGTTTAAAATCCCAGTAGCCTGCACCCTGGAGGCTGGGACAGGAAGCTCTCAAGTAGTTTGAAGCCTTTCCTTGGTTACATGAGAAGATCAAGGCCAGCCCTGGTAACTTAGGGAGATCTTGGCACACACAAAACATTTAAGGGCAGATGATGTAGCTCAGTAGTAAGAGAATGCCTGCCTAACTCACACATGTCCTTGGGTTCACTCCTCAATACCTAAAAATAGGATGCTTTAGACTTACTCAGGGTTTGTGACCTATAAGTCAATCTCTAGGAATATAACGTGAAAAACACAAAGATTCATTACAGTGTTGTTATACTTAAGAATTAGTAATAGCCTCATTATTTAAAAACTGAGAAATTCGCCGGGCATGGTGGTACACACCTTTAATCCCAGTACCTGGGAAGCAGAGGCAGATGAATCTCTGAATTTGAGGCCAGCCTGGTCTACAAAGTGAGTTCCAGTACAGCCAAAGATACACAGAGAAACCTTGTCTCGGAAAAACAAAAGAATAAATAAATAAATAAACCTGAGAAATTTGAACTATTTCTAACACATTTCTATGGTGAACTAACACTTGATAATTAAACAGTTAATGACTGTAGCTGTATCTGCTATATGATAAGTGAAAACTAACTTTTATTTATGGCCTAAAAACAATTTCCTAAAAAATTGTATATACCAATCTATGAACATATATAAAAGAAGAACTAGTAACTTATAATCTATGGGTGTTGGCCTAAAACTAATTTATTATTTTCCTACTTTATTTCCTAAAATTTCTGCAACATGTACATTACTTTTTATTATGGCCAAACATACATAATGTGAGATCACCACATTTTAACCATGTTTTAGTATGTGCATTATTATTGAAAACAGAAGTTCTGTTCATTTTAAGTAGCACTAAGGAGACTTCATTGCATACTTGCACTATAGTCGCACCAATGTGGCAGTGGTTCATCTGGACAAGGACAGGAGAAAGGCAACCCAGGCAGATGAGATGGTTTGTGGATCCGAGGGGCAGAGTGGAGTGTCAGCATGTCTGAAGACAGAGTTAGCAAGTGAAGTACCTTCAGGGTTTTTGGCACTGACCAGACTGGTCAAAGGATACTGTAGCAGGGAAACAGGAAGTGGGGAGGAGCGTTGAAAAACCCGAGGGCCAAGTCAGAGTCACGTGGAGAAACCAACAGGAACCAACTACTGGAACTACTCATTTCAAGTTGCAAATGCAAATGACCCCAAATTCTTTTTCACCCAGAGCTTCAGGGACACACAGATTATCAAAAAGAGGCTAAGGAAGCAGACAAGCTGATGGAGTGAGCAGAGTTAGGGGAAGGGACAAACCCGCCAGTCTTGCTTAGTGTTACATCACTGATCAGGTTTGGTTTGCTGATAACAATTTAGGCTAAGCTGGTTCTTCAGTTTGTATTCTTTACTGTTTTCTTTTGCCTGTGTGCCCTATCGTGACCACGTTCCTTGGGGAATTGTTAGGACAGCTCCCAAGATAGCACCCGTTTGAAATGCAGTTTCTTTCTGCTGTCCCTTGCTGTTTTATGGTTCTTGGTTTATTTTAGTCCTAGCCAGTAGGTTTTACTGAGAGAAGGCACGATGAGAAGAAAGAATGCTACATTCTCCTTATGGTAACATCAGGAGGGCAAGTTAGCAGGTTGCATTCTGTAGTGTCCTCCTTTGCTGGGGTTGCAGGCAAGTAAGTAATGTATTTGGGGGCCAGGAAAGAAAAGGGAGACTCATGGGGAAGCTTTCTAGAAGACACCTAGTCGCCCCGAGGTTAGCAAAAGTGTTAGAGACCACATAGATTTGCATGAGCAGCCCTGAGCTCTTTAGAAACATGGCATCCATGGTGGGGCTGTTGGGCAGGAGGGGGTGGGTGGAATTGAGCATTTTTTTGTGGCTACATAAGTGCAAATGCTTCAAGCCCCCTCCCTCCCAGTGCTCCGCACCTGCATCTTTCTCTTCACGGTGTCAAAGGGGAAGGAAAGCTTCTGGCTCACAGCAGCAGCCACGCAGACATTGGCAAAGTTCTGCAGGTGAGAGAAGCGGTCCCGGGGTCCATTCCAGATTTTCTCCAGGTTCATGTAGACTAGAAGGGAACCGGCAGAGAAGGGAACAGCGCCTGGAATCAAGCACAAGGAGAGGTTGCTGTCTGGGGAACCACTGTCTGGAGCAAAGGAATGCCCGAGGGCTGTATGATGGGAATAGCAGGGGTCTGGGGCTGTTAAAAGTCCTGCCAGTTAAGGAGCAACAGGGCATGTTCTGTGGGTGTGGTGACAACACCATATGGTCACCAAAAGCCTGAACTGGTCCACTCAAGGTTGGTGCAGTTTACCATCAATACACTGTACATAAAAGAACTATAAGCCAATCTTGAGAGTTCAGTGTGGTGACACATACCTATAATCCCAGCACCTAGGAGGTGGAGGCAGGAGGATCAGTAGTTCAAGTTCATTCTTACCTACATAGCAATGTTTATTGCCAGCTTGGGCTACTTGACTGCATGAGATACTGCTTCAGGCGGAAGAGAAAAAATACCCAACTAGATGCTGAACTTGGGTTTGTGATACAGATGCTGTAACTTACATTAAAATCGCCAAAGAAGTCAGGTGGTGGCGGTGCACACTTTTAATCCTAGTATTCGGGAGGCAGAGGTAGGTAGAACTCTGTGAGTTCAAGGCCAGCCTGCTGTACAGAGTGAGTTCCAGGACTGCCAAGGCCACACACAGTGAAACAGTCTCAAAAATCAGACAAAAAAAGTCACCAAAAGAAAATATGGACTGGTGAATGGCTCTGAGGGATGCATAGACATGTGACAAAGTTAAAAAAATAATCAACTGGGGTCTTCAGTGAGTATATAGTTATTTACAATTTTTAGGGCTTTACTGTGTTTTTGAAATACAAAAAGGAGAAAAGAATGAAAAGAAACATTGCAAGGAGTCATTTCCATAGCACTGAAGAGATGGCTCATAAGATAAGAACACCTACTGTTCTTGCAGAGGGGCACCTACACCAGGTGGCTCCCGACCACCTGTAACTCCAGCTCCAGGGAATCCTCCATCCTCTAGCCTCCACAGGCACCTGCACTCATGTGCACACACCTACACACACACACACACACACACACACACACACACACACACACACTTTCAAAGAAAATAAAATCTTTAAAAAAAATCACTTCCATTAAAGAAGATACTAGGCTGGGCAGTGGTGGTGCACACCTTTAATCCTAGCACTCGGGAGGCAGAAGCAGGCAGATCTCTGTGAGTTCGAGGCCAGCCTGGTCTACAAGAGCTACAACTAGGGATGTTACACAGAGAAACCCTGTCTCGAAAAATAAAAAAGTTAGTAGGCAATACTTAATCCAGTTTGGGAGCCTAGAAAGGGACTGTTCCCTAGTGCAGAAGGAAGCATTCTGTGATAACGGTGGCCATGGAGGTTACCTGACCTTGCTGAGATGTCTTAGGGCCCAGTGAGCATCATACGTAGTGGTACCCTCACCTTCCTAGTAACTAAGATGGCGAATCAGAGGACATACTATTTGGTATTCTCACAAATTTCCAGGAACTTTCCGAACAATCTTTAGTTAACAGATGAACTAATTTGTCCCTCAAAGTGAGATAGAGAGATGGCTCAGTGGTTCAGAGCACTGGCCATTCTTCCAGAGGACCCAGGTTCAATTCCCAGCACCCACACTGTGGCTTGGGACTATTTGTAACTCCAGTTTCCGTGGATCTGACACCTTTTTCTGACCTCCATGGGTACTGCTCACACGTGATACACAGACATGCATGCAGGCAAAACACCCCTACACATAAAGTAAAAAGTGGAAGTACAAAAAGAGATCTACTAGATGGGGTACTGCTGGGGTGTGACTCCGCGGCAGGGTGCTCACAAAGCTCTAGCTTCTGTCCCTAGCACTGCGAAAACGGGAGGCAGAATATAGGTGGGACATCGCTTATCTTTAGGCAAAGGTACTATTTAATAAACAAAATATATTTGAAAAGACTCACCAACTTTCTATTTTCAAAAACGTTTGGGGAAGCTGGAAGTGGTAGCACATGTCTGTAACCCCAACACTAGAGCGGCTGAGGCAAGACGATCTGGAGTTAAAGGCCAGCCTTGCCTACGTAGTGAGCTCAAGCCCAGCCAACATGACATTAGACCTCGTCTCAAAAATAGGAATCGAGAGATCTTTTGCTGTATGTTGGGCCCTATGTCAAGCGCTGGGACCACAGCTCAGAGCAAGCTAATTTCTATAGATATTTACCATTAAGTGCAGGACATAGCTAGGAACACTTCATATGCCATCCCCGATATGTACATGTAGTGAGCTGTACAAGATGCTTTATGCACACAAGTATCAGAGTGATTGATTTTGCCCAGAAGAACCAGGAAAGAATGAGAGAAAAGAGAATTCTCTCTATCTCTCTGTGTTATGTTAGGGATTGAACATAGAGACCCCACTCTAGCCACCACCACCTTTTTAACTCTTTGACACAGGTCTCAGTAAATTCCCTGGGCTTTATTTGAATGGTGTAGCCCAAGTGGGCCTTGAACTTTCACTTCCGCCTCCACATCCTGAAGCTAAGGGGGGATTGCAGACCTGGCATGTCTATAGTTGTTTGAGATAGGAACACTGTGTAGCCAAGATTAGCCCGGAACTCCTGATTCTCCGGCTGTAACCTCTAGAGTCCTGGGATTGCATTATAGGCATGTATCACCACACTTGGTTTAGGTTTAGAAGAGAGAACTTTTGAAGTGGGTTGTGAGCAAAGAGTAGGTCCACTAGGCACTGAGAGAGTGGAAAGGCAGTCTGGGCACAGGCTGTGTATACGGTCATGAACAAAGGACAAAGAGCAGCTTCATCAGACACTGAGAGTAGAAAGAAAGGCACTTGGTATCAAGTACGATAAGTGTGTAGCTCTAGGAAGCACATTCTTTCTGCATGACCTGAACATGAGAGCAGGTGGAGGCACGCTACAGGACAGGACTGTAGGGCCGACTAGCAGAGGCCAGCTCTGGAGGATCTGGAGTGCCCCAGAAATGCTGGCTCTCCCTCTTAGCTTTTCAGGATTGCAGTGGAATGAGGACAGAGCATTAGGAAAGATCATCCCAGGCTGGCAGCAGTACACAAGGCGCACTGGGCAGAGGGCCAGAGATAGCAACACGAGTCTTCAGGAGAGTCCGGCTCTCTAGAGTCAGCAGGAAAGATGACGGAGGCATGAGCTAAGGCGGAAGAGGGCACAGACTTGTGCATTAAAAGAAGTCAAAGTGACAAGGCTTGATGACTAAAGGGGAAACAGGGAGAGGAGGAACCAAGGTGATTCCCAAGTTTCTTTGAGCTTGGGCCACTGGGAGGAAGGAAGGCAGTCTTATTAACTAGGGGATGCATAAAGAAGAGTAAGTTTGAGACTAATGAGGATATCAGATTTTGCACCTCTGGAATATGGAGGTCATCATGCTCAACAGAGGTATGTTCCATTAGGAACTGATCTAAGTCAGTAAGTAGCTAAGGGAGAGGGCCCCAGAATCACATAATCACAGGGCATCCCACTGCCTGTGCTACCTTGAGCCAGTTATGTAGCTAAGCACCTGCTTCCTCATATTTAAAATGGTCTAAGAGGTTGTTCAACAGGCAGAAAGTTAGACAGCCCTGGGAAGGTGGCGCACATCTGTAATTCCAGCACTCGGAAGCTAAGGCAGGAGGATCAAGAGTTAAAAGGTAGCCTGGACTACACAGCAAGTTCCAGGCCAGTCTGGGTTACTTAATGTGACCTTGTCTCAAAAAGAAAAATGAAACAAACAATGATATGTCAGAGCTGAAGAATAAATTGTTGTGATCTATTGCTCAGCATGCTGACTATAGTTAGTGACAATGTATTGTACATTTCAGAGTGGCTAGAAAAGAGAGTCTTGATAGGAGAATGGGAGATCTCACAGCAAAGAAGCGATAAAGGTTTGAGGTGATGGATATGCTAACTGCTCTGATTTGATCACTATCGAATATATGCACGTATCAAAATATCAAACGACAGCCTATAAGCGTGTACAAGTATATATCATTAGACGTAAGAGGGCTGGAGAGACGTCTCAGCAGTTAGTGTGCTATGTTCTTGCAGAGGACATGAGTTTGTTTCTCAGCACCCATGTGAGAACACGCATCTAATGTCCTCTTCTGGATTTGGTGGGGAACCACATTTCTGACCACACACCTCTGCATTAGATCTGGATATATACATGTGATTAATAAACAATAAGAATGAACTTTTGTGGGGGTGGGAGAGTCTTCAAGAGCGTGGTCCTGCTAGGTTGGCCATGATCCTGTGGATAACCCTATATCCATAAGTATAAATATGGGCAGCACGGATTGGACTGGGCAGGTTATTAGCAAAGAAGACATGAAATTGAGAATGGGGTAGGGAAATGAGGGAACGGATCTTGAAGGAGTTAGGGGAGGAGTGGAGATATGATCAAATACATTATATGAAATTCTCAGACTTAATAAAATATTATATTAAAAGCTAAGAATAAAGATAAAAAATTTGAATAAGAAATTGTAATAAAAAAAACTTCTAGAAATGTACTTAGTGCCCAGTGAGCACTCCTAAAAATGTTAGCATTGTTATTAAAGATATTAGGAGTCAAAATATATTCGTGCTTATTGAAGCTACTGGCTTAGGACAGAGTGAGTCATCTAGAGAGGGGATTCAGGGTAAGAAGGCCAATGTAGAAGGCTGGGCATGGTGGTATGTGGTTGTAATCTTAGTATTCAGGAGACAGAGGTACGAGGATCCCTGCAGGTTTTAGTCTAGCCTGGTCTACATAGCAAGTTTCAGGTCAGCCAGGGCTACAGAGTGTGACCTTTTCTCTAACAAACAAATAAACATAAACATCAACAAAAAGAAAGCCCATATAGAGGGTAAAAATAAATTTGAGGGGAGTGACCCAAATGAGCCATGTATATTGTATAAGAGAGAGCTGCCAGAGAGGTGTGACGATACCCAGGAGACAGTGGCACCCTAGAAGCCCAGTCTCCAGAGGACAGGGTGACTAACCTCATCTAGTACTACATGATGGACTAAAAATCCTTTTGGATTTGACAACAGAGGCCTCTGTATGTGTAGCGCTGTCAGGCTGTAGATAGCACCAAGATCCTGTTGTGCCTGCTCGTAGATTTCCACACCAAAGACTCATGTCAGCTGGGCATTTTTGAGGGGGGCTTTGAAGCCAGGCTTTTCTGGGTCACTGGAGGCCTCTAAAATCGATTTAAGCATTCACGAAGGTATATAATACCTTCACCTGTGTCAAGAAGGGGTGTCAAGTTCCACCTTACCTAAAACTGTGAGGGATACCCCTCGATAAAGGGCCAGAAACCCTTCTTGGTGATAAATAGTAGAAAAAGCATGGCTGAGCCCCCTGTAAGATGGTTCCAGCATGTTCTGCACAATCAACCGGGTTTTGATGAGGTCCGTAGGGTAGGTGACAATCATGGAGACCATGCCCGCGAGACTTCCGGCCACAATGGAGCTCCACTGGGAAATACGGCCCAGGTCATCCATGAACAGCACAACAAACCTGGGGGAAAACAGAAAAAGCTCAAGATATGAGCGTTGGACTATGCTGGCATGCTTTCCACCACTTCAAATATTTCCTAGCATTTGGAAGTGCTTTACAGTGTGAATTATACTGGGATTACTGGGTAGTAAGTTTAAGTTTCACTATCCTCATATAACGCTAACTAGCTATAAGCAAGAGCTGTCCAACCTCTGCTCTATAGCTTCCCCAAACTCTTCCCACTTCATTTCCAGCATTTTCCCCTGTTATCTACGCAACCATCTAACTTGCTGGTGGGCTGTAAAGGCAAAGAAAGATTACCTCTCTGGAATGCAATCTTTCCATGCTCTTGAAACTGAAAGGGAATAGAATTTTCTGAAATAACTGCAAAATCCAGAAATTTCACTCTCTTCCAGCACTGGGAATGGAACCCAAAGTCTTCTATGCATTAGGTACACACTTCTGTTTCTGAGCTACATGCCAAGTCCAGCATCCCAGAAACTGAGTTCTGAGCTCAACAGTCCAAGTCAGTATCAACTTTAATCATAGCCACAGGGCTTTGGCTTTCTGCAGAAGGCCCTACATCCAGCTAGCTGATTAAGCTGTAATGATTAACTAGGTAACCTACGACACTGGCTGATTGGATGGCGAGGTTGCCACCAATTAAGTTGTTCTCAAAACCTTGCTCCCCCCACCCAAATCTGTCTTACGGTCATGTGGTGGGTTGGACTTCTTGGAAACTCCTCGGTTCTGGGAGGTATCTGATTGGAGACTTGTGTTTGGTTTGGTTTGCTTTGGTATGGCTCAAATAAGCTTGCTAAACTTAGTATAAAGAATGAGTTTTCCTTTATAATGGAGATTAAAAGTGGAGCTGCTGTTTTACTAGTTATCAGAAAAGTAACAAATACAAACAGTGACGGGATATCCACATCTCATCCAGCAGGCTGGCATCATATCGAATGATGGAGAGAGAATGGATGGTAACTGACTCCCTCGCCCTTTGCTGGAAGGAAGGACCATAAAACCAGTAGGGTCACTTTGCAGTGTCTAGTAAATTTGGAGAAACAAGTTTTTAACCCTGTAACTCCATTTCGCAGTTCATAGTCTAGAGGAACACTCTTAGAGATCTACACATGAAGACACACTACAAACATTTCTTATAAAAATGAAAAGCTCTGCCGGGCGGTGGTGGCGCACGCTTTTAATCCCAGCACTCGGGAGGCAGAAGCAGGTGGATCTCTGTGAGTTCGAGGCTAACCTGGTCTACAAGAGCTAGTTCCAGGACAGGAACCAAAAAGCTACGGAGAAACCCTGTCTCGAAAATTAAAAAAAAAATGAAAAGCTCCAACAATTTAATGTCAAAATGTAGGGGAATGGAAAAAGTGAAGGCATTGTCATTCAATGGATCCCATCTGGTTAAAATGAATGAGCTTAGACAAATCACAGAAGCACAAGAAATAAGCCGTAAAAGCATGATGATGAATGGGCAAAACAAGCTATAGATATGACAACCACAAACAATAAACCCATAAGGATTCTTTAAGGTAAACAGGTACTTAGGAGGAAGTATAAAAGCTTCCCCTGGGAAAGGGAAAATGGACTAGGACCAAGAACGAAAAAGAAGAGGATGCTACCTTCATCCAGGCTTTATTATATTTAAGAGAGATACATGGGTGGCAGGGCTTGGCATACATGCCTGTAGTCATGGTTTCGTGGGAGGCTGTGGCAGAAGAAGCACTTGAGCCCAGTATTTTGAGGCTGCTTGGCCAAGACTTGAACTCAGAAATGAAACAAGGGGGCTGAGGATGGGGTTCAGTGGTAGTATGATTATTTAGCACACTCAAAGTCCTGGGTTTGATGCCCGGCGTTGCAAAAAAAAAAAAAAAAAAAAAAAAAAAAAAAAAAAAAAAAACAGAAACAAAAGCTAACCCCCTCCCACTTCTCTACATCAACAAAGACATTTTGGGCTTGGTGGTATGGGCTTTGATCCCAGCACTTGGGAGAGTAAGACAGGAGAATCTTGAGTTTGAGGCTAGTCTGGATTACAGAACAAGTTAAAGGTCAATTTAGAATACAAAGAGAGACTCTGTCTAAAAATAGTATGGAAAGTGTGGATGGTAGCTATATGAGTGTTTGACAAACTATTCTTTGTGTCTCTCAGTAGTTTTACAATTCAGTTAAAATTACTTTGCATGGACTTTTCTAAATGCAGACCATAAACTACCCTGTTATAAGCCTTTTTTTGGGGGGGGGGCAGGGCATTCTCAGTCATGAGTGCCTCTCCCAGAAGAAATTTTATAAGGGTACTTCTACACAGCACACCCTTCCAGGCTACAGAAAAGTAAGTTAATTCCTTAGTGCTGAGGCTGGGAAACTAGGAGAAATAGTACTTTTGCCATAGAATGGTACAAGGAGGATACCAAGAGTTTGGAATAAAAGTAAGCGAACAGAGCTGGGCTAAAATAATACTTTCATCTTCGTCAAAATGAAAGCATTCCAGGTCATTGGCTCTCAACCTTCCAGTGGAGGGGGAGGTTTCCTGTTGTTCAGATGAGAGCTGGCCTGAGGAATAATGAGTGGGCATTCAGGTGGAGCTATCTGAAGTTCATTGGCAACATCTCCTTCAAGGGGTTATTGGTGCATCTCAATTGGCGCCCTGGCTGTGCTCCCAGCACTGAAGGAAAAATGATATACAGACAATTAAAGCTGGCATTCACCAGTGAGCCACTGGCCTGCCTCTGTGTTAATGCCGGCATGCTGTTTCTTTGCCCTGGCCAGTCAAGTTAGAAGGACAGCACACACACGAAATAGAAATGATTGTGTGCAGCAAGCTGGAAAAAAAATACCTGCTTGGAGTTTAGAATACAAAACGCAGCACCATTCTTTTTTATTGTCCCATTCTTATTCCCTATCCCATTCAGCCATTCAAGGACTTAGGCCAATTTATTGCCCATTTGTTGGTCAGCCATAATGCACCAGATACTGAGCATAGATCACATAGGAGAGCTCACCAGTCCTGACAAGGAAATAACTGACAGAAGCATCTAGAGGGAAACAGGCCCTTGGCTTACTCAAGTACTTGGACTAGGAAGAGAAAGCCTATCTTATTATGATGGTTTGTTGTATGAAGTACTCTTAACTATCAAATGTAGAAAATGAAAGAGAAGAACTAAAGGGAGTTCTTTCTTCTATGCCTCTTCACCTCTAATCTTCCCTCAGAATAGTAAAGTCAAGGAGCTGGAGAGATGACTTAGTGGTTGAGAGCACTGGCTGCTCCTGCAGAGAGCCGGGCTTTGGTCTGCACGTGGCAGTCTGGTCCTACGTGGCAGTTCACAAGCATCTGTGTCTCCAGGTCCAGGGGATCTGGTGCTCTGTTCTGACCTCTTTTGGTACTAGGCATGCACACAGTGCACATATGTACATGTAGGCAGACACTCATAGACATTAAAAAAATAGTCAATGCAGATAACCCTGTTAGGCTACCAATGGCATCATTGTGGTCCCTATAGATTAAAACTCTGACTGGCTGGGGAGGCAGTGTTCCGGTTTTGCTCTTCCTCATGTACATACAAGCTTTTTTTTTCTCAGTGAGACTGAGACTGAAGGCCCTGGTGATCTGCAGGAACCCCTTCCTTTCATCTAGTGCAAATTCGACGCACACTCCAGATGTATGCTAACACAAGCTCCTGATTGGTTATGAAATAAGGAAATGGGGGTGCTCTGAACAAGTCACAGCTGCAGGGCCCCAAACCAATATATAGTCAGACAAACGAGCAGTTGTGCAATAAAGTTGGAGGAGGACCTTCTTTTTGATGCATTTGAAAGCCACCCCTTGTATCTGCTATCATTTGCATGTGACAGAAACACAGCACCCACCACTCTAACCAGTAATCTCTTTTCATCGTCAGACCAACTAAGCAGATATTTTAGCTGTGTAGTCGTGGACAGAACCCTGGACTCAGGAGCCAGAGGATGTTTTCAAGTTCTAGCTCTGTCACTGCTATTGTGGAGAATTTTCCAGCCACTTCATTCACTGAGTATGCTGGATGTTCTGTTCTGAGCCGTGGTCAGACTGGGTACCATTAGTCCCTGCTACGTGTTTTGCAAATTCATGGTCAGGAGAGAGTGCAAATGAATTGGTATGATGATAAGCCATGCCTACCATCTTTCTGGAGAAAGGATGACTTCACGGCTGATCAGCCTTTCTAACTATACCCTGTCACTCATGAGAATGCTTCTTTTCAGCTTTCAGAAAGAAAATAGTCTGTCAGAAAATAATATCAGCACACCTAGTCTATGTAAGTCTCTGCCCTTCTCCTCCATCTTTTCTGTCGCCAACCCATTTCAGATACTCCGGGCTGCTGCGTGCTGTGACAGGCTCCTAGCTGCTACTACCACCTTTTATAATTCTTTAAAAAATGCTTCAAGATCCCCGGCGGCAGTAGGCAGCAGAACTGCTATAGGTCCCAAATGGTGGTAGTGGGCCATGTGGGGGCAGGCAGCGTCCCAGATAGAGACAGCTGCCGGTCCCCGAGCAGTGGCTGGTCCCAGGCAGGGAGACATATGGTGGGCGGGCAGAAGACAGAGACGTGGATAGACATGACTTGCAGAGTGAGGTTGAACGTTTATTCAGGGGGTTATGAAGGGGAAAGGGTGAAGGGGGGACAGAGAGAGAGAGAGAAGGAGAAAGAGACAGAGAAGGGGGATAACAGAGAAGTGGGGAGAGAGGCAGAAGCGAAACTGCCTCTCCTAGAGGAAGATGGAAAAGAGAGGGCGCTCAGGCAGGAAGCTAAAGATCAGCCTGCCTCAGCTGATGGGGGAGGGAGTGGGCGTGGCTTGTCTCTTAAAGAGACAGAAAACCATAACACCACTCACCACCTTTTTCCTTGTCCACTCTACCGTGCCACTAGGAGACACTCATTCTCCTTGAATTTCTAATCACAGCATTGCCCTGACCCTGCACAAGCATTTCCCACAGCCACCATCACATACCAAGTCCGATTTTCAAGATCTCATTCCAAGACGCTTTTCCAGCCGGTTATACTGCATGCCTTTCCTTTTCCTGGCCTATGTTGACATTACCTGCAATGCCTCGTTTTTTGCCCAGGAGACTCCTACTCATTTTCCCAAGGCCAAACTCAGACAGCTTGTTCTCCTCTGTGAAGCCGTCCCATCTTCTCACCTGAAGTGTACATCACTATCACTCCTGATCCACTGGCAATTTATAGCCACTAAATTCATTGTGATGTCTGTGGACTGAGATATGCCAGCCAGTCTTTTTAAAACTACCTTGTAAACTGAGACGGGGACCACACTGCTTTCATCCTTGCAGCATCGCCAGGATCATGTGTGTTATTCTGCATCCTAACTAATGTCAAGTGAATGCGGAAAGAAAGGTGGCGTGTTGTGACTGAGTAGTTCTTAGGGCTGGGAACACAGTGGCAGGACACCTCACTTGCCTGGGCTTTCACCTCTAGCACTGGAAACAAAACAAAAAGTAGCTTAACCAGCTTGTAGGCTGTTTGTTTAATTCAGAGCCAAGGCCAGTCTTTAGAGCTGGCACCTTGCCTCCCTAATGAGGAACCCAGGGACTGTCTTCCCCAACAGAGAAGTAGCCCCTCCTCTAGAGTTGCCACCACCGGCTGCTTTCTTCTTTTAGGCTTCCTTCCCAGCTCCCATGCAAATCTGTTGAGCTCTGTTAAGGTCACTCCACAGTAGTCATCATTTGCATCTCTAGATCTTTCCCTAGGTAGCAGTGCTTGATGTGGGAGGAGGTGAAAAAAGTCCACAGGAGATCAGTGAGTGGCAGGGGGTGGGGTAAACGGTAGGCTGAGGAGACCGGTCCCTGCTGGGGAAGACGAAACTGCAGGCCCCCTAAGATCCTAAAGCCAAGATAGGCTGCAGCTGGAGCTGGGGATGGACAGGAATCATCCTGGTCCCTCTTCCTGTCCTGAGCACTTACTCCTTGGTACACTGGGCTCAGACACACCTTCTGGAGCATTCTCTCCTAAGCCAGCAAAAGCAAACATTTCCAATTTACTGGACATTGGTAATGGTCAGACCTCACTTCTTTGGGAAGCTTTTTCGTTTCTTAACCTCCAGATATCATTTGCCAATTCGACCTCCTCTTCTTATTCCCCCCAGAAAAGACTATAAAGATTTCACAAAACTGTAGCTCGCAAGGCAGGAATCTCAAAAGCATGTGAAAAACTGATACTGTGCTTTCGGGGCCACACATACAGCCTTGTGGCCCCAAGACGCCAAGGCACATCGCCCCCGCCCCCCATTATCCGGAAGGAAGGGAGGCTGGGGGCCTTTTCGGATTCCCAGTGCTGGTGGTGGTGGCTCTGCCTCCCCAGTCCGACCTCCCGACCCCGCCCTCCGGACTCTTACTTTCGGTAGGCAGCCAGCTGCACCATGCTGCAGGGGAAGAGGCGCAGGCACGCCACGCCATTCCCCTTCCACAGGGCCCTCGGCCCCTCGGCTAGCCACACTCGGCGTCCAGTGGCCCACAGCCCCTGGGAGTGGCCTCGCGCCACGCCGACCTGGGCCAGCACGGTGGCGAGCTCCAGGGGCGCCTTGAGGCTGAGGCTGAACACTCCCGCCAGCCCTGCACACAGCAGCCGCTGGCTGCCGGTTAGCCGGCCATCCCGCCTCCACGTAGCCATCGGGACCCAGCCCCGCGCGGGTCACCTCGTGGCTGGTGTCCGGGGCTCGCGGGCCACCACGGGTAGAGTGGTCTGGCCAGGCCCCGCCCGGCGTGGGGCGGACTCTTGAGATGAACTAGGGAAGCTGGGCCCACGCCCGAGCTGCACCTCCGGGTTAGGGTGGGATGGAAGGCGGCTTTCTCAGGTATCAGAGGCAAGCCCAGTCATCGTGTATTTGCAATGCTACTGGCAAGACTAGGCTTCCATTTCTGTCTGGAACAGTTCCCCCTGTTCTTTGAAGGCCAAGCCAGCAAGACTTGTTTCCTAGGTATTCACCCGTCCTCTACCTTGCTGCTTCTCTGTTCCTTTTTCACATTCTATCTTCCCCTCCCCTGACTTTCTTCTCTTCCATCAACCTCTTTATTTTAAAAGGTTGTGCAGCGTGCAGAAATGACAGACCTTGGATAACAATACTTGCCTAACACTCGGTGGTGCCTTCAAAACAGCTTTTTAGCAGATCTGGCCTCATTTGCGGAGGCTGTGGGTGTGGGTGTGGTTAAACCACAGGCTCTGGAACCTATCTGCCTTAGAGTCCTTGCAGATGTCACGTGACGGTAGGGCGGTAGGGAGGTCACTGGGTTTCTTTGTGCCTCAGGTGCTTCACCTGTACTGTGGAGTTTGCACTTTCTAGAAGTTACCGCGAGAATTAAATCAACATTGACCGGGACAGGTAACCAATCTCTGTCTGTGTTGCTTCTGATTAAGACATTACCTTATAGAAGCGGAAACTAAGACATGGAGATGCTTAAGGCTGAGTGGCCACTGCAAGGCAGAAGCAGGGTTCCTACATAGGCCAATGGAGGCCTACATCTCCTTAGGGCCATACATAAGGAATGCATAGTAACACTGCAGCGAGAGAACTTGCCTCAAAAATGAAGGTGGTGGTGCCAGAGCCATGGGGAAGAAGACAGGCAGGAGAAAATGTCCGAACGAGACCAAATACTGGGGACGTTCGTTTTTTAAAATCAGTAAGTGAAAACAATGCATTGAAAAAGAATGAGGACCGAGGTGGGGAAGACACTGGATGCCAGCCTCTGGCCTCCACGCGTACAAGCATGCATAAACTCGCTTCCTGCTCCCCCTTGCTCCCCCTTGCTCCCCACCCCTTCTCTCCTCTCTTTGCACACATATGCGCCAAAAGAAGCGCAGGGCCAGAACTGAGCAAACAGAAATTCTGAATCCCTCTTGGCTTTGTCTATGTTAGGGTTACAGTTTATAAAGATGAATCAATGGGCTGGAAATAATGCATATATAAATTTAGCAGTGAGTCCAAGTTACTAAAAGCCAGAGATAAGTCTTTTCTCGTGAGAAACCAGCTTATCCTCTGGTACCAGGGCTCCCGTGGGTGGCTTATCCTCACCCCAGCATGAATTTTCCCAGGGGAAATTCTAATCCTTCGGGCCCCTGTTACATGGATACAATGTACAGTGATCAAATCAAGGCAATTAGCATATCCATCACTTTAAACATTTACAATAATATATTGTAGATTTCAAAATAACCAAAAAGAGGATTTTTGAATGTTTTCAGCACAGAGACAAAGAAACTTGCTAAAAAAAAAAAAGGAACCATTTCAAGTCGTGCAAGCTATAGGCTAAGAAAGATGAGATCTATTATTTTAACCCCTCAAGTGTATTTTTTTCTATGCAGATACACGGAACGTTAAAATGACTAGCAGCAAAACATGTCTTCGATGCCTCCTTCTGTGTTGTCATGAGGCAGTACCGACTAGCCGCTTTCTTATTTTCCTCAGCGAGTGTCTTTCTCATCTGTTCAGCTGAGCACGGCCGGGTTTCCACCGGGAGCACTTCTTTGCCTTGCTGAAGCCTTGCTCTGCTCTCGGCTGGGGAATGCTTATTTGTCTTGCCTTGTAACTTCTTGTGTCTTGTGGTGAGGGAATTTCCTAGCTGTGGAAAGTGGCAGAATGTAGCTCTACAAGTCTGAAGATCAGACGATGTAGGATGGTAAAACGGCAGGAATTGAATTTGGGCTCTGGGTAAGGGTGCGTTCAGGTCCCAGTTCTGCCCTAAGCACTCTGTTGCCAGCAGGATGGGGCCCCAAAGCTTTCATGAAGCATCACCCTGGGACCGCAGCTGCTGCCGCTGTACCACATTGCACAGAGAGCTGGCTCAATTGAGCAGTGCCAACTGAAAAAGAAAACCAGTTTCTTTTGGTGCTGTGGAGTTGAACCTGTGACCTTGTACATACTAGGCACGTGCTCTACCGTTGAGCTACATCCTTAGCTCAGTTTGTTTGTTTGTTTTTTCCTCAAGTCAGCTTGTATGGGAATTTCTAATGTACCTTTTTGGAACTGTGTATTCTGTTTTTTTTTATTTCTTTTTCTTCATGGTGCTTTTTGTCTTTAGCACCAATAAGATGTTCAGATGAGCCAGAGATGGAAGGATTTTATGTCTAGGAAGCTATAGGCCCAGAAAGATAATGAGGCCTATTTTAACCTCCACAGCACATTTCTCTGCAGTTAACAGTGGACAGTAAAATGACGAGCAGCAAAGTGTGTATTTGACACCATCTATGTTTTCAAGATAGTGTGCTCACAAGATGTGCTCAGATTTGCCCGAGCTAGAGCCCCGCTCATCTGTTAAGCACATACCAATCTTTTTTTTTTTTTTTTTAAATCATGTCCTGGGCATGGAGCCCAGGGTCTCACACATCCTAGGCAAACAGATTGTGACGTGTAGACTCTAACTTTACTTGCTCTTTTTTAATACCTATTTTTTTTTATTTAAAAAAACCTCTTCAACGATCCTTGCTCGCTCCAGCCTTGGGAAGTGCATAGCACATGAAACTGAGATATTATACTAAAAGCAAACATACAACTAAAAGGAGAGGCAGTCAGTAAAAAGTTGTAGAAGTAAATGTTGTGGCAGGAAGTAGATGGGTGGCCCGCTGATGCCAGTTGGTAGGGAGCCTCCTGTCACCCCAGTCACTCCAACTGTCATCTTTCAGTTTCTCTTCTCTCTGAAGAAAGCCTCCCTCAGCTGCGCTCACGCTCACTAGTAGCTTCTTAGATGATGCTTTGTTTATCTTGCTGTTTGGACCAATACTAGTTGATTCCTGTTCTTCTATGTTTTCTTGCATTCTTCATTCTAGTGGAATTGTGTTGTATAAATTGCAAAAGCGGTATAGAGCTGTTGTCCTAAGACAAATGGGATGGAAGCCTTGATAGGAGGCTGAACTTGTCTGATCTGTGCTCTCAGGGAAGTACAGTTAAGAGGTGTGTGTGTGCTTGTGTACATGCTTGCATGGGTGTCTGCATGTGTCTGTCTGTCTGTCTCACTCTCTCTGTATCCTTTCTTGCTTCTTCTGTGTTCAAATATCCATTTATGTGGAGTTGTTTTCTTTGCTATCCCCCTTCCTCCCTCCCTCCCTCTATCCTGCCCTTTCCTCTGCCCCCTTCTTTCCCTTTAATGAGACATAAAATCAGTACTCTGAAATGATTTTTAAAACCACCCTTTTATAATCAAGTTATCTGTGGAGAAGAAAACCTGTACACTAGAGAACAATTAAATTTGAACTCTGTGCTCTTTTATACTGTTTGCTTTTTTCTCCTTTCCTTGCACCCTGGGCATGGATTACAAAAAGCATCTCTCCCCCAGTTTTCGTTGAAGCACTCCCATCAAATGCAATGTTCTCTGCAACACCATCTTGCCCTTGATGAGCTAATTCATTTTTAAATGTCGAACAATTCTCAGTGAAGTTCTGAATGAAACAAGATATAATCTTTCCTAAAGAAATGTGAAGTTTCAGCAACTTGACACAATCACATAGGAAAAGAATCTCAAGTGGAATTGTCTAGATAAGGTTGGTCTATGGACATGCCTATGAGATTTTAATTGGTTTGATTGACGTGAGAAGACAAACCTTGAATGAGGGTGACAGTTTTTCCTGGGAGAATGGATGGGATGAGCAGGAGAGAGTGAACTGAGCACTGCATGTCCCCTTCACTCTTTGTTTCTGACTATGGATTTGATGTGACCAATTAGCTCCCCTGACCTTCTGTTTCTGGGACTTTCCACCTGTGGTGGACTGGAACCTGGAACTGTGAGGCCAGAGAAACACTTTCTCCCCTAAACTGCTTTCTTTTCTTTTGCTTGCTTATTTATTTATTTATTTATACTCGCCATTTATTTATTGTTTGTTTGTTTGTTTGTTTTTTCGAGACAGGGTTTCTCTGTGTAGCTTTGGAGCCTGTCCTGGAACTCACTCTATAGACCAGGCTGGCCTCGAACTCACTTCTTTTTTCTTTTAAAGATTTTTGGGCAGTTGAGATGGTTTAGTGGCTGAAGGCACTTGCCAGCCAAACCTGATGACCTGAATTCTATTTCTGGAAGTTCATATGGTTGAAGGAGAGAACCACCTCCCAAAAGTTGTCCTCTGACTTCAACACATACCATGTCACATGAGAGCCAGACAAATGAAACACAATAAATAAAGATAAAATTTAAAAAATATTACTTTTAATTATGTGTTATGTGAGTGTCTCTATGTGGTTTTGTGCACGTGAATGCAATGACCATGGAGGCTAGAAGAGTGCCTGGAGCTGGAGTTACCGGAAGTTGTGAGCTGCCCAAGCTGAGTGCTAGAAACCAGACTCGGGTCCTCTGGTAGAGCAGCAAGCACTCTTAACCACTGGGCAAACTCTCCAGCTCTCCTGGATTGCTTTTGTTAGGGTATCGTATCACAGCAACGGTTGAGAAACTAAGACAACACACTAGACAAACGTAGAAGAACAGGAATACTGAGTGTAGAAACACCCCGTAAGACTTGTTTTATCTTTATGAGCAAAGCAGAGTTAAGCTTTTGATTCAGATCATTGTTGAACAGGTTTTCCTGTTCTTTTTTTTTTCCAGCCGTATTCTAGTTCTTTTATTTTTTTAAATTTATTTATTTATTAAGGATTTCTGCCTCCTCCCCGCAACCGCTTCCCATTTCCCTCCCCC